AAAAAACAGCTGCCGTGGTGCTACCCTTTCCCCCAAGACCCGCTGTGGGCAGCCTGAACTGCCATTCCTCATCACTGGGGCTGGCAGGAGGGCACAGCAGGGTCTCTAGCATCCAAGCAGCCTGCATTTCCACCTCCTCTATCCCACTGCCCCCTATGTGCCAGGGCTCTCTGGCATCCAGCAGGCCTGGACAGAGGAGTCATGCTTCCCTGAGGCCCAACACCCTCCTATCCTGCTTCTAGGCTGGCACTGCCAACCCCACCACCTGCACAGGAGTTGCAGTGCAGGCTGAGGCACCAGCAGGTGGCCTGGGAGCCCTCAGTCCTGTAACTGAGGCACAACCACGTTGTGGCTCTGGGTATGGGGCTAGAAAGGGGCCCTCTGTCTCTCCCAGGGTGGCCCAGCACCCACCTTGACAGCCAGGTGGTCCTCCCAGTCATTGGTGAGGCTTTTGTAGAACTCGCCATACTCCTCCTGGGTGATGTCATCAGGGTTGCGGGTCCAAATAGGTTTGGTCTTGTTCAGCTCCTCCTGGTCAATATATTTCTCCTTTATTTTCTTGGTTTTTTTCTTCTTGCCTTTGTCTCCCTCCTCCTCCTCCTCATCAGAACCCACATCCTCAATCTTGGGTTTCTCCTCATCTTTGGACACTGGCTCTTCCTCTTCCTTCTCGTCTTTCTCCTCCTCTGCCTCATCATCACTGATCTCTTTCTCACGTTCCTTCTCCAGCTGTGGAGAAAGGGACAAGGAAGAGTCAGGGCCATGAGCTCAGGTTTAGTCCGAAGCAGCCGTTACCAGGAATCCTTTTGCTTCAGATGAAAGAAACGGGTATCCTCCTGATGTAACACAAGGCTCAACAAATGCAACACCTAGAACTAGGGCTTCCCCTGAAACCAGCCCTCAGAGTCCCTCTACAGCTCATGCCACCAAAAGCTGCGTCTGAGAAGATGAGACAAGGGGCAGGAAACCCTCCTCCCTCCATGGCTGGTTTAGCTGTGACCTCCAGCTGCACAGATCAAAGGCCAAAAGCATGGCTGGATACCCCCCACCTCCAATAAGCCCCCAGCCTCAAATCACCTCTGGCCACAGAAGCTGGAAGCACCACTGCTCAATACGCAGCAGCCAGGAGCTATGGAAGGGAACACGAGACCGTAGTCTGCCCTTTTCAGGGCTCTTGCTACCAACACCACCCACCCCTGCCTCCAGCTTTCCAGTAGGTCCCCCCAGTCCTTCCCTTACATACATAGAGTGTGATGGGGTAACCAATGAACTGGGAGTGCTTCTTCACCACCTCTTTGACACGCCGCTCCTCCAAGTACTCTGTCTGGTCCTCCTTCAAATACAGGACCACTTTGGTGCCCCGTCCAATGGGCTCACCTACAGTGCAGGGAGAGAAACATTAGCATTTCAAGGCATAGTGTTAAAGGGCAGAGAGCAAGTAGGACCAGCTCCTCGAGCCTAACTGTTACTTGACACCTCACATTAACAAGCGTGACTGACAAAGCAGCCCAGCTCTAGGGAACACCAAGAAAAGGGATGCTTCTAGCAGAGAAATACGCTTGATTTTGTACAACACGTACCATGGTCAGTCCGGACAGTGAAGGAGCCCCCAGCTGACGACTCCCAAGCATACTGCTCGTCATCATTGTGCTTGGTAATGACAACAACCTTCTCAGCCACTAGATAGGCAGAATAGAAACCCACGCCAAACTGCCCGATCATGGAGATGTCTGCGCCAGCCTGTGAAAGCAGAGAAAGCCTAACGGACCAGTGACGAGAGAAGAGATGTCTGCAACTGATTCACAGCAGCAAAGAACTGGGTCAGCATACAGAGAAAAAGGGACAAGCACCAACAGGCAGCCAGCCCTACCCTCAGCTCCTCCCTGCTGCCGGAGAGGTGAGGAAGCACACTCGGGTAGGCCAGTAGCTCCCACAGCAAAAAAGGCAGCAAGGCTAGGGTTATACCCCAGCGAAAGCCTATGGCCCAGGCCCTAGGGAACCCATGCAGCCAAAGGCAACCCACCTGCAGGGCTTCCATAAAGGCTTTGGTACCAGATTTGGCAATAGTGCCCAGGTTATTGATGAGGTCCGCTTTTGTCATCCCAATACCAGTGTCCACCAGGGTGAGCGTGCGGTCCCGGGGGTTGGGGACTATGTCGATCTTGAGGTCCTTACCGCTGTCTAGCTTGGAGGGATCTGTCAAGCTCTCATAACGGATCTTATCCAGAGCCTAGGGGAGAAGATGATGCTCGCCACAGCCTCCCTACTCAACAGCCGCCTCCCTCCCCCAGCAAAAGCTTCGCGGGCCGCCCAGGCACCAGCCTCTCCCTGGGCACCCCCAGAGGGACATCAGCCTCCCCCGAGCAGAGAAAGAAGGCCGCCCCCGCAGGGGCGAGCAGGGCCCGGACTCACATCGGAGGCGTTGGAGATGAGCTCCCGCAGAAAGATCTCCTTGTTGGAATAGAAAGTGTTGATGATGAGCGACATGAGCTGGGCGATCTCCGCCTGGAAGGCGAAGGTCTCCGCATCCTCCTCCCCGTGCTGCACTTCCTCAGGCATCTGCAAGGCAACCGCAAGCCGATAGCACCAGGGGGCAAGTGGGGGCACCCGGCCCGGCCCGGCGCACGTTCCTTACCGTGTCTGGCGTCAGGGACCGGCGAAAGAGCTACACCCCCCCCAGCCGTCTTTTATAGGCACGGGGGGGGGGGGGGGGGAGTC